TCTTAATTACCCATAAATGAGTGAGATCATGTGTGGTCTCTGTCTGTGCCGCTCTCACCTGGGTTGAGCCTGTTCTGAATGCTTTTTGGAAAACGGACGCTGTGGGGAGGAGGGCCCTGCCCGCCATGAGGGCCGCGGGCCGCGGAAAGCCTTTGGAAGATGCGGGCGGCTTCCTTCTCCCCGCGAGCCCTCCAGGCCCTCCTTTTCCATTGTCCCGCTGCGGCTTGACATTTCATTTGAAAAGCTAATCTGAAGGACAGGCGAGGGGAGCAAGGAGGTGGCACATGTCTCCAGGGACAGCTGTCGCTTTGAATGCTGTTTGCAGTGGTAGGCCGGGACAGGAAAGTGTAAAACGACATTCTCTCCAAGTCACAGTAGCCACGGGGGAGCAGGCAGGTGCAGCCACTTGTCCCACCTTTTCTCTGACCTACTTTGAAGGTTGCACCTCCTTTTAAAATTTATTTATTTATGTTACTCCTCATCTGAGGATATTTTTCCATTGAGTCTTAGGGAGAGTGGAAGAGAAGGGGAGAGACAGAGAGAAACATCGATGTGAGAGAAACACATGGATCGGTTGCCTCCTGCACCAACTCTGGTCAGGGCTCGGGCCAGGGAGGAGCCTGCAACCAAAGTACGTGCCCTTGACCGGACTCGAACCCGGGACCCTTCGGTCCGGAGGCTGACACTCTATGCACTGAGCCACACCGGCCAGGGCAAGGTTGCAGCTGCTTTGAAGACTGAAGCAAACTGGGAGCTTGTCGAGGGGGTCAGTGTGTACTGGGTGGGAGGCGGGGCTTTGGGGGTTCGGACTCCTCCCCTCATGCTTCTTTCCGTGTGTGCTCCCTGGAGATCCCGTCTGGCCTCTTCATCCCCAGCATGGCCGTGGGGGCCATGGCGGGCAGGATGGTGGGCATCGGCGTGGAGCAGCTGGCGTACCATCACCACGACTGGATCATCTTCAGGAACTGGTGCCGGCCCGGAGCGGACTGCGTCACCCCGGGACTCTACGCCATGGTGGGAGCAGCGGCCTGCCTAGGTACAGCCAGAGGCGGGGTGAGGCGGGGTGAGGCGGGGTGAGGCGGGGTGGGAGGTGCAAGGAAGGGAAGACAGACTGAGCACAAGGGCCGATCTGGGTTAGAGGACTGGCCAGAGGAAGCCACGAGCACTTGCGCTCTCAGGATCGGAGAGGGCGTGCTGCTGTGACAAGTAACCCCCTAAATCCCACGGGCTTAACACACCGAGGCTTAGATCTGGTCCGTGATGGCGGATGATCCTCATAATTTGTGGATTCCATAATTGGGCATTTGTGTACTCACTGAAATGTGTTTGTCACCCCCAAATCAGTACCTGTAGGGCTTTGGCAGTCCCTCTCGGACACTCATAGGTGGAACGCTGGAGTGGTCTGACACATGTATGTTCCCAGCTGAACTGACCAAGGTGAAGGTCTGCCTTCTTGGTTCGGCTCTCTCACGGGACGCAGATGTCCTTCTTGTGGTCTATCGAGTGCCATGGGATTTGCATTTTTTGTGCTTTTTGTTAGTGATTTTGCGGTTTAAAATGGCCCTCATGCATAGCGCTGAGGTGCTGCCTGGCGCTCCTCATGCGAGGAGCCTGGGATGTGCCTCAGGGAGAAAACACACGTTCAGAAGCTCCCTTCAGGCTGAGTTCAACGTGACTGAGTCAACTGCATCTATTAAATAAGGTGTCTTTGGCCAGAAACACACACAGATGGATTTTGACAAAAACGTTGTGACCACAGGCTCACAGGAACCTAATCTGGGTCTCCCCTTGGGCAGTGATTAAGAATTTGCTAATTCAGCGTTTGTGATGACTTTGTAGATCATAACTACTGTGAATAGTGAGAATCAACGTGTGTGTGTGTGTGTGTGTGTGTGTGTGTGTGTGTGTAGTTAGCGGAAGGTTCTCTCCACTTGGTCATTCAGGGACCCAGGCTGATGGAGTCTCTACCATCTCACAGCTGTGCCATCTAGGATGGTGGTTTTCAACTGGGGGCGATTGTGCCTCTCAGGGACAGTGGACAAGAGAGGAGACATGTTTGGCTGTCACACCTAGGGGTGGCGGTGCTAGTAGCATCTAGGACAATGATGGCAAACCTTTTGAGCTCGGTGTGTCAGCATTTTGAAAACCCTAACTTAACTCTGGTGCCGTGTCACATATAGAGATTTTTTGATCTTTGCAACCATAGTAAAACAAAGACTTATGTTTTTTATATTTATTTTATATATTTAAATGCCATTTAACAAAGAAAAATCAACCAAAAAAATGAGTTCGCGTGT